TGGAAAATGCAAACTAATCTGTATGACAGAAAGCATATTAGTGGATGCTTGGAGAGTTTACAAAAGGGATATGAGAAACCTTTAGAGATGATGGCTATATTCACTATCTTATCTGTGGTGATGGCTTCTTATATCACAACTTGTCAAATTGTATACTTTAAACATGTGCAGTTTACTGTACCTTTGTATCTCAGTAAGGGTGCTTAAATAAATACGTAAATAAATAGACCCATTCAATAAAACATCATGGTCCCTCCCATGTGGTCTTAGGCAAGATATCTAACCTATTGGGCTTCAGTTTTCCTCATCTAAAATAATAAACCTAATAATCTGTGACATGTGGGGTCGTAGGTAAAAAATGGTCAATATATGTTGGCTCTCTTTCAATTTGCTACTTTTCAGTCAGCAGGTTGGTAGCCCACAAGTTAGTTAGTAATATTTTTATTTTTGGAATATTAAGACTGGATCACAGGTGATCCAGCAATCTCATTTCTGGGTATTTATGTGAAGGAAATGAAATCACTATCTTGAAAAGATATCTGTAACCCAATAGCCAAACATGGAAACAACCCAAATGTCCATTGACAGATGAACAGATAAAGAAAATGTGATACACACACACACACACACAGGAATATTATTCAGCCATAAAAAAGGAAAGCCTGCCATTTGTGACAACATAAATAGACCCTGAGGGTATTAGGCTAGTGGAATAAGCCCCATAGAGAAAGACAAATAGTGTATGATCTCTTTGATATGTGAAATCTAAAAAAAAAATCTTACTCAGAGATATAGAGAATGGATTGTGCTTGCCAGAGACAGGGATGGGTGGGATTGGCAGTAGGGATGAAGGAATCAAAAGGTACATACTACCAGTTATGAGATAAATAACTCCTGGAGATGTAACGTACAGCAAGATGACCATAGTTAACAATACTATAGTATTACATAGTTGAAAGGTGCTAAAAGTAAATCTTAAAAGTTCTCATCACAAGGAAAAAATTGTAACTATGTGTGGTGACTGATGCTAACTAAATTTACTGTGGCAATCATTTTTCAATATATACACATATTCAATCATTATATTGCACACCTAAAACTAATACAATATCATAAGATTGGATGACCCATACTTAACATTGATCTCAAGGGAACAATGTTTGGTTTCATGACTAAATGAAACATTTTACTATTTGTTAAGAAAACCCAATGGCTAATAACTTAGACTCATTTCCTAATAGTGGAAGAAAAGTGCATTCCAAGATTTTGATTTAGAGATCTTAATATATATAATTAATAAAATCCCTGTTTTCACCATTAGAAGTAGCTTTTACATCAACTTCTTACTTTAAAACTGATAACTGCCCTGGCTGGTATGGCTCAGTTGGTTGAACATCGTCCCATGCACCAAAAAGTCACCAGTTCAATTCTCAGTCAGGACACATGCCCAGATTGTGGGTTTGACCCCCAGCTGGGGTCCACGTGGGAGGCAACGAATTGATATTTCTCTCTTACATCAACGTTTTTCTCACTCTCCCTTCCTTTCTCTCTAAAAATCAATAAAAACATATTTTTAACAACTTGATAGTTAAGTAGAAAGAAATAAGCCAGCTTTTATCCTACTTTTCCTAGATGAATTTAATTGTAGGGTAGTCAACTGACTCTAAAAGATGGAAGGAAAGTCTTGCATAAATTCTAGTTAATATGTGAAGAATGAAAGAAAGAATAAGTAAGCTACCATTTTTTGAAGTCCAAATAAATAGGCAAGAATCATTAAATAGGGACTTAAATCACTAGGTAAAGGGGGAACTTTTGTTTGCAACAAGCCACTTACCATCTCTCAGATCACATCTTACCTGATCACTCTTGACACTAATAATAGAACTAGGCATTATGCGCATCCTAATATAATGCAACGCGAAGCACAAAGCATAACCTAGGAAGAGGTCGTGTCAAAAAGGTTTCACCTAGCCCTAGCCGGTTTGGCTCAGTGAATAGAGCACTGGCCTGCGGACTAAAGGGTCTGGGGTTCAATTCCGGTCAAGGGCACATGCCCAGGTTGCAGGCTCGATCTCCAGTAGGGGGTGTGCAGGAAGCAGCCAATCGAACTCACATCTATGTTTCGCTCTCTCTCCTTCCCTCCCCTTCCACTCTCTCTAAAAACCAATTTAAAAATCTTAAAAAAAAAAAAGGAACCTGTGAGCTTAATAGCTTCCCTTCTGGGTGACAAAGTGGAAGCAGTCATTCAACACATATTTATTTCTTACCTCCCATGGGTGAGGTACGTACTAGGGGCTCCCTCACTGAGCTTGTGGACAAGGATGGCAAGACAGGCCTTTCTCAAGTAACCACAGACATTTACAAATACAAGCAATGACAAGCGTCATGAAAGAAAAGGACAGTGCACTATCAGAGATGTGATGATTGATCAGCAAGCAACTCAGTCTCCAAGTTCAAGCCACTACAGTGGAAGCACAGGGGTTAAAGCAAGGACTTGGGGTAGAATACTTGGGTTTGCATCCAGCTCCTCCTACCTCTGACTAACTATGTGACCCTGAACAATTGATTTCACCTTTTAGTTCCCTCATCTGTACAAGTGCTATAAAACAAGTGTGGGGCCTGGCCAGTGTGGCTCAGTGTTTGAGCATTGACCTATGAACCAGGAGGTCACAGTTCGATTCCCAGTCAGGGAATATGCCTGAGTTGTGGGGTCGATCCCCAGTGTGGGGCGTACAGGAGTCAGCCGATCAATGATTCTCTCTCATCATTGATGTTTCTTTCTCTCTCCCTCTCTCTTCCTCTCTGAAATCAATAAATAAAAATACCCTATATAATAAAGAGGGAATATGCAAATTGACTGTCACTCTGCCACAAAGATGGCGGCGCCCACAGCAGAGGCGGGGTTTCCATAACACAAGATGGCTGCATCCACAGCAGAGGCCAAGTTCTCATAATGAGCCTTAACAAGGAATCAGCAGGGACTTGAGGCTATTCCCCCACCCCGTGCCCCCATGGGTCTTGACAAGGATCCTCAGGCCACACCCCCCGCCCTGGCGCCAGGCCGGGGGACCTCAGACTGCGCCCCCCGCCCGGCAGGGCTTGATGGGGGACCTCAAGGTGCGCGCCCTGCCCTGGTGCTGGGCTGGAGGTCCTCAGATTGCTCCCCCGCCCAGAGGGGCTTGACAGGGAACCTCAGGCTGTGACCCCCACCCTGGTGCCAGGCTGGGGGACCTCAGATTGCTCCCCCGCCCCGGTGCCAGGCTGGAGAACCTCAGGCTGTGCCCCTCGC